ATGCCCTCACCCAAACTTCCACTTCCCAACTCAAACATATTGTGTGTGCCCTGGGGGAGGGGCTGGCCCGGTGCAGCAGGGGGAGGGGAAAGGTGCTGGCTGTGGGGTTTGCCCTGCTGGCAGGTGGTGCCCATGGGGCCAGCCGGCATGGAGAGTCCCAGCTGCGTCCCTGAGGTAGAGCTGCCCAGCCAGTGTGTGGGGGACTGGTTCTGACTTGCTCTTAGCAACATACCACCCACACACCTGGGGTAGCCCTCCCCAGCCAGTGTGTGGGGGACTGGTTCTGACTTGCTCTTAGCAACATACCACCCACACATGGCCCCAAAGCAACAGAGATTCCCGGGGGCCTGCCCCTTCTATTTTAGTCATAGGCAAATTCAATCCAGTATAATTCTAGAATGTTCTTTTTATTACAGATAAATAGTCAAATTAGAAAAAATAGTTACATTGAATGCTTGTTCTGCACACAAGACAAATAAATCAGAGCTAGAGAGAGCTCTCTGATCAATCAAGTGCACATTTCCTTTGTCTGATCTGATTCACTCATAAGATTCTTCAAATCTTGAATGTTTATTAATAAAAATAATGTATAAGAAAAGTGACAAATGATATTTCTTGCTTTATGCCAGAGTGCACGGGCACTTGACTGTATTATTTCAAGTGATCAACTCAATTACAAGAGTTATTTTTTCTCAAAGTAACGAATTGTGTATTTGTATGGAAAGGTAATTAAAGGAATTTGCGTAAAGCTGAGCACATGTTGGATGGGTTTAATGAATTTTTTGCAGTTTTAATTTAAAAAAAAATCCAGCAGACAAGAAAGCAAAGGACATTTAAGGCCTGTTCTGAAACTCCTTCATTTTATTCCCTCTAACAAGGCATTCAAAGTATTCAGAGAAGAGACAGTTACTTACCTTTGTAACTGTTGTTCTTCAAGATGTGTTGCTCATGTCCATTCCATGTAGATGTGTGCGCGGTGTGTGCATGTGTCATAGGAAGTTTTTCCCCTAGCAGTAACTCGTTGGACCAGCAAAGGAGCCCCCTCGAGTGGCGCTGCTATGTCGGCTAATACATACTCCTGCTGACCCTGCACCTCCTGGGTTCCATCTTACTGGGCTATTTGGAAGAAGGGGACGCAGGAGGGATTTGGAATGGACGTGAGCAACACATCTTAAAGAACAACAGTTACGAAGATAAGAAACTGTCTCTTCTTCTCTGAGTGATTGCTGATGTCCATTCCATGAAGGTGACTCCAAAGGAGTAACCCCAGGAGGTGGGGTCGGAGTTTTAATCTTCCATGGAACAGAGAACAGCCCTATCCATAACTGTATCCTTCCTAGCCTGGTGAGCCAATACATAGTGATTGGCAAAAGTATGGACTGAAGAACAAGTGGCAACTTTACAGATGTCCAGTATGCGGACCTGAGCCACAAAGGCAGTAGAGAAGGCTGTAAGGAGAGGGGCTGGCACCCTGGCCAACACTCTTTAGTAGTGTGATCCATGAAGCGACCGTCTGTGCGGAGACCAGCTGCATCTTCATCTGTTCCATGATTGCCACAAACAGCTGTGGAGACGGAGCCATATACCCTTAGGGGAAAAACTGTTGATGCATACATGCAGACAGTATGTGCACATCTACATGGAATGGACATGAGCAATCACTCGAAGAAGAAAACTATTTTCTCTACCTTTTTGTATATAAAGAAACAAGAACTGATAAAGGTTCTTGTAGGGCAAGAACTTTTGTGGTCCTATTTTATTTAATATAGATACATGGTAACATTTCTATACGTTATTCAACAATTTACCTTGGTGGTTCTGAGCTACAGACAACTGCTGTCTGAACACTAACACCATGTTCTTAGTTAAAAAGCCTCCAATTGAACAAGTCTGTATTTTGTGTTATGAATGCAATAAGCACAAATGTTTCAAATAAACACTAGTTACAAAGATACTTGAATTTAATCAGGTTAAAAAAAACCTAAATTAATTTTTGTTCTATAGTTATTACTGTGCTATTAAATCTCCACAAAAAAAGCTAAAAGGAGCAGGGGATGTTTGAATGATCCATGAAGTGGAGGGTGGCTCATCTCACTTCAGGACCACTAGGAAACAAACGACACATAGTTTAGTCCCTTGATTTTCAGAAACGCTACAGGATTGCGCAGCAGTGGTAGGCGCACAAGTGAGGGGCACCTAGAATGACCTCACAGTCGTTTAATCACAGTCTGGACCCTGGCTAGAACCCATAGAAACTTAAAGTCCTCCCAAGATGTCCATGCCACCATCCCCCAACATTGCCCCCATCTGAGCCCCACCTGCCAGCACAAACTTCTCACAAACCCGGCTCAGTAACTCACCAATACACTTTGCTTCTTGCTTCGGGCTCCTTCCCAGACCAGAACACGCTTGCCCTTCCAGCCGGAGATTTCCCAGCAGCATGGGCACACATGGTCTGCTCCCAGAACAGCTGGGCAGACACCACACGGTCCTGGCTACAGCTCCAGCCCTGAGGAAAGGCTGAAACTGGAGTAAGGGCCACATAGTGGGTGGTTCGCTGCTTCCAGGGTGGGATTGTGTGGTAGGAGACTGCCCCATATGCCGGGCTGAAGCTGGAGCCACAGTGCTATCTTTAGTACCACCATCCCTAGCCCCTACAGCCAACACACTGACCCAGCTGCTATTTTTAATACCATGGTCCTGTCCCCACAGCACTGGATTCATTATCAGCAGCCCATTGGTTTGCTTTTATGCCCTCACCCAAACTTCCACTTCCCAACTCAAACATATTGTGTGTGCCCTGGGGGAGGGGCTGGCCCGGTGCAGCAGGGGGAGGGGAAAGGTGCTGGCTGTGGGGTTTGCCCTGCTGGCAGGTGGTGCCCATGGGGCCAGCCGGCATGGAGAGTCCCAGCTGCGTCCCTGAGGTAGAGCTGCCCAGCCAGTGTGTGGGGGACTGGTTCTGACTTGCTCTTACCCCACCCCTAGCCTTCCCCCTCCCCTTTTGCCCTTCCCATTCTCCCCCCCTTTCTGCTCTCCTGGGTCCCTGCCCATCCTCTGCTTTGCCTCCCTGGCACATGCCCCTGCCCTCCATCCACCTCTTCCCCCTAGCAGTCCCCTCCTTGCCCTCCTGACACCTGCCCCTCCCCCAACACCTTCTGCACCCTGGAGCCCACCCACCATCTCATCCACCTTCTGCTACCTGGCACTCACCTCTCCTTTTCCCCTCTGCTGCCATGTCCCCTACCCTCCCGTCACCCCATATGCTCCCCAGTGCCTGCTGCCCCTATCCCTCACTGTCCTCTGCTGTCCTGGTTCCTGCCCTTCTCATTCCCCTCAACCCTCCTGGGACCTGCCCCCCTTCCCATCCTCTCTGTTCCCTGTACCAGTCCTTCCTTCCCCTGTGTCCACCACTCCTCTAGCCCCACTCTGATCATCTGTAGCTACCTTTCCCCATCCTCTCTCCTAATACTTCCCTCTACCCACCTGCCCTGACTCGCTCATCTGCCTTCTGGTGCCTCTCCCTCCCCACCCTCCCTGTGTCTGCCCGTCTGCTTCACCCCCATAATCTCCCTGGCACCTGCACCTTTCCTTACCCCCTGCACCCTCCTGGAGCCTCCCCCTTCACTCACTGCCCCTGCTCTCCTTGCTCTCTTTCTCCCTAGTGCCCATCCCCTCACCATCCTCTGCCCCAGTTCTCATGTCCCTCTGTGCCCACACACATGACTTGCTCCATCCCCTGCCTTCCTCATACCCCACCTCTCCTTTCCACTCTTCTCCCAGCACTCAGTCCTCCCTTCTGCCCTTACCCTTTCCTCTCCCAGCATCACCCTGTTCCCTCTCTTCTCCCACCCCAACTGACACCTTATCTCCCCTCTCCTCCCCTCCTGGCCTTTCCTCTCATTGTCTCCTCTTGGCCCCATGGCATTTCTCTCCTCTACCCAGTCCATTGGTGCCATCCCTTTCTTCTCATGCCCTGCCCTCCCCCACCTGTCAGCACAAGCCCCTTCCTCTCCTCACCTCCACCTTTCCCTTAGACGCCCTCTACCCTTTTCCTCACCTTCTGCCTTTGACATGGCAGGCAGCTGTCCCATTTGTGGGGGGCTGGAGCTGGGTGGCTGTCCAATTTGCGAGTGCTATTTTTAGTTCTGTGGCCCCAGAAACTGCCCCAAAAACTGCCGGGCAGCCACAGCCCCAACCCCAACCCCAGTTGCTCTTAGAGCAGGATTGCATGTCTGGACTGGAGCCTGAGCCACCTGTGGTGCTCTTTTTAGTACCATGGGCAGCCCTGGCTTCAGACCCAGCATGCAGGATAGCCGCCCACCATGCAGTCTTGCCCTGGAAGCAGCTGGGGTTTGGACTGTGTGGTGGCTTCTGGGGCTAGGACCGTGGTGCTATAAATAGCATCACGGCCCTGGCTACAGTCCTGACACACAGGGGGTGGCCTCATGGCAGGTGGCTGCCCCATGTGCCGGGGCTGCCATGTAGCTGATCCTGGGCCAGGGCCATGGTGCTCATTTTAGTACCGTACCTAGGCTCCAGCTTCAGCAGCCACCACACGGCCCACCTTGGCTGCAGCTCTAGCCCTGAGGAAGGGTTAAAGATAGGGCCAGTTGCCCACAATGTGGTCCCACCCCGGAACAGCAGAGCAGCCTCTACACAGCTCTTCTAATAAGGTGCACAGGAATCAAATTCTTGGTGCGTGCCCTCACAGGTGCGCACCTTAGAGGGACCCTTGGCCTCGACCCTGTTTCAGACCTTATGCCTTGTGTCAGTATAGATAAATAAGAAGGCATATCTAAATTATTAGTGCTTCACATATGCACAATTTTTCTCTGAATGTGTCAGTTCTGGTGAGCCACGAAGAGTTACGGGGTAAACTCATTGCTATGTGGAAACAAACAATTTTATGCCTCTGATTTAATGCTTCTTGCAATGTAGAAGATACACTTTTTATTTAAATGAATAATAAAACATAATAAATAATAAAACATATGCTATTATGTAACAAATACAACCATACATATATCAATAGCTGTACCTATAAGAGCTGTAGAATAACCTTTCTGCTTCAAAAGTTTCGCAAATGTTATTTCTTCAGTGGGAAGTCCACCAGAAGAGGCAGAAACTAAGAAGACACCAATGTTTGAAAATGCAGCCATTCCTAAATAAAATAAAAGTAAGTGTGAACAGCATAATAAGGAGAAACAATTTTTATTTGTCACTTCTATATATTTTATTAAAAGATGTCACTAGAACGGCATTTTTCCATCAGCAGCTATGGCAGCAACTGTCAGACAATTGTCTATTTTAGCTGAATCGGGTCATTTCTTCACTTTTATACAAAACTGAGAAATAGAGATAGAGAAAAATCTCAATTTACTGTGGGCCCTGCCAAACAGACAGATAACTTTTATAGTCATTACTATGACCTATCTGTGCTTATGAAAACAAAATTTGGGGTTGTCTGATTTAATATTTCTTAAGACTCAAGAATCATAAGGTAGCGATTAGCTGTGAGTGACAGTAGTGATCATTCTGATGTTCTACTTCCAGAAATAACTCCTTCTATGAATTTGGGCAAATCACTCAATATATCTTTCCCTCATCTTATCCACCTGTAAACCTATGTGATACTATCTATTTCATAGGGATGTTTTGAGGGTTGGTTAATTGACATTTCTGACGTGTAAATCTGGAATCCTCAGAGCAAGGTACTAACAATGAGATCCCAGTTTTGACTCCCCTTACATCTGCAAAACTCTCTCAGCTCTGTAAATATCCAAATCCACTAATTTTGCAGAGCAGAAGTTCCCCAAGTGTTTACATTTCTGCCTTTGAGCATGCTCACTGCTGCCTCACTTTAGGCATCCAGATGACTATCTCCTGCCTAAGTCCCAGAGGGATTCTGCAACCAGGGAAAGGCAGGCATTCAGCTGCCTAAATTGTATTCTTGGCCCAACCCTGTAGTGTGCTTAGAGTGTCTCTACCAAATTGGTGTCAAGTATCAGAGGGGTAGCCGTGTTAGTCTGAATCTGCAAAAGCGGCGAGGAGTCCTGTGGCACCTTATAGACTAACTGAAGTGTAGGAGCATAAGCTTTCGTGGGCAAGTGGGTCTTTGCCCACGAAAGCTTATGCTCCTATACTTCAGTTAGTCTATAAGGTGCCACAGGACTCTTCGCCGTTTCTACCAAATTGGGTGTCATTCAAAGTCCAGGAGGAAGAAGAGTTGATGCCTACCCTATAACTTTCAGTCCAGTCATTAGTAATAGAGATGTAGCTGTGTTAGTCTGATCTTGCTGAAACAAAAGAAAGGACTGTGCAGCACTTTAAAGACTAACAAGATGGTTTATTAGGTGATGAGTTTTCGTGGGCCAGACCCACTTCCTCACATCAAATTCTGGAAGACAATTGGCATGACCATATATACCAAAGGAATACAATGGAAAAAAGTGAACACATTATAAAACTGACAAATCAGATTTAGAACAGAAGGAAGGTGAGGGGGAGGGCAAGTATCTGCGGGTATGTCTACACTACAATGGTAATTCGAACTAACTTAGTTCGAATTAGTTAATTCGAACTAAGCTAATTTGAACTAATGGATCCAGACTAAAAAACTAGTTCGAATTAGTGTTTTGCAAATTCGAACTAGCATGCCCACATTAAGTGAACCCTGAACCGGGCTTAAGGATGGCCGGAAGCAGTGCTGGCAGGGCATCAGAGAAGAACTTAGAGCGTGGAGATGCTTTCTCAGGCTAGCCGAGGGCTGTGCTTAAAGGGAACCGACCCCCACCCCGGACAGACAGTTCTCGGGGTGCCCCGCTTGCAAAGCAGTCCTGGCTTGGAGTGCCCTGAGTGCCCACACTGGGCACATCACACCACTCGGCCGGGGAGATGCAGGCGGGCTGGCGCTGCGGGAGCTGGCACCCTGGGCAGCTGCCCGGCTCACCCATGCCTCCGTTCCAACCTACAAGTGTTCAGCTTTAGAGCTGCAAATATGAGGACTGAGCTGACTTCAACAGGCAAGGTGGCTCCTGCAGTCACTTGATCTTGGCTGTAAATTCAAGTAATCAAAGTGAAGTCAGATATTTTATCAGGAGCTAAACAAATAGCAACATTGTAATTGATGCCAACATTTGTCCTGTAATCTCTTAAACAACCAAGATTAAAAATGTGTAGCCAGATTTTACTCTGGACTGTTGCACAGCTATGTCCTCTTAATTCTCTAGTCTCCGATGTCTTTAATGCTGCTGTGCTGTTGGAACACCCACACCTGGCCTGTTTACACAACCATCAGCATGCAAATTCACTCCCAGCAAAATACATGAGCAGTGCAACCAATCACTCATTAATTATGTACAGGACAATACCTGCAAGCTCTTAAGTCACAGCCTTGTTCCCCCAGAAATATGTCTTGTAGTATTTTCAAACTATTGAACTAGGGAATTTCATAGGAAGTCCATCATATCATCAGAGGAAATTAATATATGCCCCCACATTGTTATCTTAAATGGAGTTCCTCACACACTGGTTAACCCAAACACACTGGTTAAGAAAAAAAAACCCAACAAGATCAGTTTACTAACTACAGAAAGATAAATATTTAAATTATTACAAGTGTTGATCCATAAAAGTCAGGATTGATTACAAAAGAAAGTATAAGAGTAATATACAAGCTAATACCTAATTTAACAAGCTAAGTGAATGCAAAAGCAAAGTTTTTCTCTTACCATATCAGGGCTCAGGGTCGGGGGTCTCATGGTCCCACCTTGATTTTCATGCAAACCTGCTCCTGGGTTTGCATTTGGCCTTTGGTGGCCAGGCTGTCAGCTATCCTGCCCTAGACGACCACTTTCCTGTGCCTAGTGCAGAGGTCGTGGACGTTGGGGGCCTCCCCCCAAACCTCGATGAGGTTCACGATCTTCGCACTAAACCAGGCGGGCGCCTGCCTCCTGCAGCCCCGGGCAGGTTCCTGGGAGCTGCCAGCCTGGTCCCGGGAAGAGGGGGAGGGCTGGGGGGCAGCGGGTGGCTGGCTCCTTCCCCTTTCTTCTCTCCCCTCCCCCCCATTTTCTACTATTTATTTTGGAACAGGATACTCCATTCATCTGAAAATGTGGTTGTGCCCACGGCAGCTCATGATACCATCTACATGTTTTATAGTAATAGAGAGGAAGCTGTGTTAGTCTGATCTTGCAAAAACAAAAGGAAAAACTGTATCACTTTTAAGACTAACAAGATGGTTTAATAGGTGATTAGCTTTCGTGGGCCAGACCCATTTCCTCAGATCATATTCTGGAAAAGAATTGGCATGAACATATATACCAAAGGAATACTATGAAAAAAGTGAACACATTATTAAACTGACAAATCAGATTTAGTAGAGAAGGTGGGGTGAGGGAGAGGAAGGGGGAGGGAATAGCTATTTGAGTCAATGAATGGCTAATCAGGGGTGATAAGTGGGGAAGCTATCTTTGTAATGGTTAAGGTAATTAGCATCTTTGTTAAGGCCCATTCATAAAGTGTCAAATTTAAGCATGAATGACAGTTCTGAGGTTTCCCTTTGTAGTCTGGTGTTAAAGTTTCTTTGAAGCAAGATACATGTTAGTAAGATCGTTAAGACTACGCCCAGATTGGTTGAAATGAAAAGAAACTAGTTTATCCTTGTGAAGATGTCTGATTTGCGGGCATTAATTCTTTGGCGAACTGTCTGAGAAGTTTGTCCCATATACATAGCAGAAGGACACTGTTGGCACATGATGGCATAAATTTATATTTCTGGATGAACAGGAATATGTGTTCTTGAGCTTGTAACTGACATGGTTAGGTCCAGTGATAGTGTCACCAGAGCAAATATGTGGACAAAGTTGGCAACAGGGTTTGTTGCAAGGGAAAATTCCAGTCATTAGCACACTCGTGTGGGATTCAGGAGACCTGGGTTAAATTCCTTCTATATCAGAGTATCCCATAGCTCAGCTCTGTGCTTAAATTGGAATTAAAGGTGCTAGGGCTCAAATAATTTTTTTTTTTACATTCACAACTCATGCAGCAAGCCCAGAGGTGATGGGGCTACTGAACAGCCAAGCCCAGAGATACCAGGGCTCAGCTCTGGCACAAATTAAGCACTGGCTTAATGATTGGAGCACTTTTTTGACTCTCACTGCCACCACTTCCTTGTCTTCACCTCCCTCGCAATCTGTGTTTTGTGTGGAACAAAGCAGGCACCTAAGATGTCTAAACCATCTGACTCCAGGAGGTAGGTTCCCATTTGTGGACTGCAAAGCAGAGCAAGTCACCTTCTCGTAAATGTTGTTATTTCAGATGTGTTGTTCACACTCATTTGAATCAGGTGTGCATGCACCACATGCACATTGGTAGGATTTTTTCCCCTTAGCAAACCCTGTTGGGTCAGCTGAAGAGCCCCTTAGAGTGGTGTCTTCATAGTGCTCTATACATGACCCTGCTGACTCAACCTCCCTCCCTCTTTGGTTCCTTCTTGCTGGCTACTCTGACAGAGGGGAAGAAGTGTGGGGCTAGGAATGGATGTGAACAATGCAACTGAAAGAACAGTTACAAGAAGTTAATTGTCTTTTCTTCGAGTACCCATTCACGTTGATTCCAATCAGGTGACTCCCACGCTATCTCCCAGAGGTGGGACCAGAGGTAAGGAATTGCAGAGTGGAGAACGTTTGTCAACAGCTGCATCGTCTCTAGATGATGGCACAGTGAGCAATGAACATGTGCACCAAAGATCAGGCTGCCACTCTTGGATCTGCAGATCTCTTGGATACATAATTGGGCCAGGAAGGCATTTGACAAGGCTTGTACCCTTGTTGAATGGGCTGTAATTGCCAGAACTGACACCATGGCCAGATCATAGCAGGTACAGATGCAGTCTGTGACCCTGCAAGAGATGTGTTGCGAAGAGTCCAGCCTGCCACCACTATGAACAGCTGATGTGATTCTCCAGACATTTCAGACAGGAGTCATGGAGGTCATTAATGAACATAGGCTTTTGGCACATACTGCACACTTTCAAAGCCTTGCGCTTGTGGCATGCCCCAGAGCCCCAAAGGAGGTGAGGGGGATGGAAAGGATCCAGCACACACTGGATAACAAGCAACTACAACTATAATTACATTAGAACTAGAGAAAAATAAACAAACAGAGGGAGTAACTGAGCTAAAGGATTACTTGCTTAGCAAGTGAAATGCAGTTCTAATGGCCACTGTGGATGGTAAGAAGGAATTGAAGGGGGGTTGGATTGGACAGGCAGGGCCATACATTGAGTGCCATGAAGGCATCACTCCATGGCACATTCTTGCTGATCCAGGGGGAACTGTTAAGGGGAAAAGTTTCTGACAACCGTGTATGCGGCAATGCACGCACCTGACTGGAATTGATATGAACAAACATTCAAACAGGAATGTGTCTTTTCTTCAGCCTGGACTTAGGCACCGATCTCTGAGCATACATCCATCTGGTCAGCAACTCCCATTGGCTAATTTAGGCAAGTCCTCACCCAGCGTGCTGGTTTCTGTGAATCATATTCTTAAGAGCTTATCTCTTCCCATTCATTGTATAGGGATCCTAGGCATCTCAGTTTGGTGGACCATAGTGTAGTTCCTGTGATTTTTCTAGGCACCAAGACATTAGGTGCCACGATGTTCAGTGTTGCAATGCTGAAATCCCTTCATTGATCATAGAATCATAGAGTTGGAAGAGACCTCAGGAGATCATCAAGTCCAACCCACTGCTAAAAGCAAGACCAAACCCAACTAAATCATCCCAGCCAGGGCTTTGTCAAGTCAGGACTTAAAAACCTCTAAGGGTGGAGAGTCTACCCCTTCCCTAGATAACCTATTCCAGTACTTCACTGCTCTCCTAGTAAAATAGTTTTTCCTAACATCTAACTGGCAGGACCCAGTACCATCTACACCTCCCCCACTGCAACTTGAGACCATTTTTCCTCATTCTGTGATCACTGAGAAATGCCTTTCTCCATCCTCTTTGGAATTCCCCTTCTGGTTGTTGAAGGCTGCTATCAAATCCCCCTCACTCTTCTTTTTCTCTATTGTAGACTAAATAAACCCAAATCCCACAGCCTTTCCTTGTAAGTCATGTGCTCCGGACACCTAATATGGATCCCACCATATGTATGTAATTGCAGCAGCAAGAAATGGAAAAGCCATGTTGGACTAACTCATCAAAACGATCTCAACCTGACTTCCAATGTATCCCTCAGTTTCACACCTACAATCAACAAATATCTGGTTTTGGGTTACTTTCCTTCAGATGTTTTTGTGTAAATTATTGCAAGTTGAATCTCATTTTGTTATTTTCTGAACATGCTTCTGATATCTGAAGGTCCTTTGGTATTAGTTCTCTGTCTCCAGTGGTATCTTCAATTAATGCCCATTGAACAGCCTTTATAAATTTAACAAAGAAGAATGTTTACCTTTTCATTGACACGAAGATATTAAAGAAGACTCAGGGCAGGGCAATCAATGCAACTTTCAGCTCAAATGAATGAATTATTCAGAACGACACAAAGACATGAAAACTAGGGTCACAATGGAGAGCTGTGTGCAAATTTAAACATAGTAGGTGCTATTGGTAATAAACACATATTAACTTCCTTTATAACAGAAACTATGAGTGAACCCAGAAGATCACACTGACTGCTGCAGCTGCAGCTTGTTACTTGATTGAAATGAACATACACTTATTAAGCAGGACCCTGAGATATACTTTGCTTTCATTCTCAGAAGCAAGAACAGGAAATGTGTTATCACTAATGAACAAGGAATCTGATTAATATAACAGTCCTTGCTATAAAACACATTTGAGAATGTTATGTGGTGCCATAGTGAGCCACCCAGAGTCTCAGAAAAAAAGCCCACTGAAGTCAATAACAAGCAAAAGCTTCCAAAGTCAAAGTTGCAGGAGGATGCATGATTCTTAAAATGAAGGAGAAGAGGAGGATGAGACAGGAATATGCTTTGTGGTGAAGATTCTGCACTCTCTTTTGCCAAGCTCACAGCTTCACTGGACACTTGATTGAGTATCCAGTGACAATTAAAACACATCCAACCAGGACCAGGGCAGAAGGCAAAAAATGCAAAATAGTTCCCGTAAAAGGCAATATCATTATACATAAATGAATATTAATGAATTTTACCTGATCTGATGGAATATCGGCCTGTCAAAAAAGCTGCTCTGCTTGGGGTACACAGTGGAGATGCTGCTATATGCTGAGTAAATGTCACTCCTCCTTTAGCTAACTTGTCAATATTAGGGGTTCTAGGAAAAAATAAATATACTATATATACACGTATATAATAATTTCATGTTTATTATCTGAAAATGAAATTAGTCAAATCAAATTCATGGGATAAAATTTTCTAAAGTGTCTCAGGATTTATATTGGCTTTCAAAGAGACTTAGGCTTCAAAGTCACTTAGGTATTTTTGAAAGAATGATCATGGTCAATATATGGATATGGTGCAACTATTACAATACACTAAATGCACATCCAGACTTTTCATCTTGGATTATAGCGGAAGAGTAATCCTCGGTTTACTTTTCAGAAACATTCAGTATGTTGTGTACTGAAATATATATAGTGTGTATAGTGCATGTGTATGTCTACACACAAGATACACACTATATTTGCGTACATACAGTACACAATTATGTGTATACATTACACACACACATATATACATATAATACTGTGTGTCTTGTAGATTATTAAATATATAGCTAACATTATTTGTATGAATTTAAAATTTCAGCTATTTTTCATATTTTACAAAGCTTGAATTTTGAATTATTACAGTATAAATGTTATGGGTTTAGTATTTTCTCCTATATAGTGATTTATGGTGGTCCTGGTCTTTGTAGCCTTTGAACCTTTTGATGCCTTTTATGTGATGAGCTGAAAGCTGTGAAATTAATTAGATTTCTGGTGTAAGGCTGAATTGTGCAAGGGACTGAGTTCCTTCTGTGAGTTGCTGAGGTTCTTCACAACCAGCTAACTTCAACTAGTGCTGAGGACATTCATTTGATAGGAAAGGGCCTCTATATTATATGTTCTATTCTACTCAATCAGAGGTTTGATTTGTGCCCTTGAAAATAACTCTTTTAGATGTGGAGGCTTAACCTACATGCTTTTTGCAGGAGTACTGCAACATTTTACCTAACCTGGTAAAACAATCATGTTGGGAAGCATTTTTGAATTAGCTAAATTGACATTTGCTTTAATTGATCTAATTAGCATGCCATAGTTAAAGATGAACGCCAATAAAAACAAATCAGTGCTTTATTTTCAAATGTGTAATGACAAGCTCTCCAAAAAGTTACATTTTTTAGAGTACTTCAAAGCATGTACACTACTGAAATTGTTAAAAAATATCATTCATTTTTCATGCTTGGACCTCAATCTTACTTTTATTGATTTTTTTTGTTGGTGATGCAGCTTTTTTGGAGGACTATGTACAGTAAAACTCCAGTGGTCCGGCATCCAATGGTCCGGCACTCCTGATGGTCCGGCACCATCTGGAACCTGGAAGTGCTCCGGGCAGCTGGACAATTGGAGCTGCTCTGCCCCTGGCTTCCTTGATTCAGCCGCTGCTGAAACTGACCAGCGGCTGACTTGGGAAAGTCTGGGGCAGAGAAGCTAGGGTGCTGACAGGTTGGTCCCGTAGCGCCGCTCCTTGGTGCTGCGGGACCAACCCGGCAGCACCCCAGCAGCTCTTCAGCGGCTGACTCCGGGAAGCCCGGAGCAGAGCACCCCATCTGCTCTGCCCTGGACTTCCCGGAGTCAGCCACTGGTCAGTTCATCTGCAGCTGACTTGGGGAAGTCTGGGGCAGAGCAGATGGGGTGCTGCTGGGTTGGTCCCGCAGCGCCGAGGGGTGCATCCCCGCCACTCCACCCCAGACCCCTCCATAGCCCCCCCTTCCGATAGTCCGGCATATCTGATAATCCGGCACCCCCCGGGGTCCTAAAGGCTCCAGATTATCAGAAGTTTACTGTATATTAACCTAAATTTCTTCCTATAAAAGTAAGGAAACAATGAAATCAAACAGTCTAGACTGCAAAAAGAAAATTAATCGTTCTGACAAAAGAAATCTTGAAGCTCTAAACTGTATTTTAAATAGTTCAAAATCTATAAGCATATATTATGCTCTATGTATAGATGTATACTCTGCACGTATGCTCTATGTACAGATGTATTCTCTCCCCCTCCTCAAAGTGTTTTATCAAACCTTAAAGTTTTGTTTCCATAACATCCCAGATCTCCAATGCCAAGGTCATCAACCATGATTACAATAAAGTTGGGATCTGAAGTGCTGTAACTTTTGGCTTTCTTTGCAGCACAATGATAAAGCAGCAGAAGTACAAGAATCCTCATCTTCCTCCTAGAAGTAGTAAACGAGTAGGAAACATTAAGGATGAAGACCATTGTTTATGTTCACATTATTCTAATTCAGAAACAATCATTTCCTTAGCTGTTACAGCTTGAACAAAAGATGAAGAAAGAGCGATTATTATGGCTTTTAAGTTGACTCATAGGATATGTCTAAACTACATGACTCCGTCGACAGAACCATGTAGATTAGTTTACTCAAAAAAGGGAAATGAAGCGGCGATTTAAATAATCGCCGCTTCATTTAAATCAAAATGGCCGCCGCGCTGTGCCGATCAGCTGATTGTCGGCACAGCGCGGCAGTCTAGACGGGGATCTGCCGACCTCAGAACCCTCCCAGACCCTGTCGTCGGCAGATACTATAAGCCTCGTTTCACAAGGCATAAAGGATCTGGGGTTCTGGGGTCGGCAGATCCCCGTCTAGACTGCCGCGCTGTGCCGACAATCAGCTGATCGGCACAGCGCGGCGGCCATTTGGATTTAAATGAAGCGGTGATTATTTAAATCACCGCTTCATTTCCCTTTGCCCTCCTGCCTAATCTACATGGCTCCGTTGACGGAGCCATGTAGTCTAGACACAACCATACTCATGTCAAAGTAGAAAATTTGACCTTTTTTTAAAAAGTGAAGACTTTATTATGTCTGTCTGGTTTGGCACCTCTTTTTCTAACACAAATCCATCAGTGTTACATTCAAATTTAAAAAAAAATCTCTGTTAGTATTCTAACATACAAAGAAAATCCTACCGCAATAAACCAGCATGTACACATAATGAAAAGAATGTTTTCAAATAACCATTACAATTTTAAAAACCTAAAGAGAGAACATTTGGGAACTTCAGCTGCTGATTGATGGGAACAACTTTCAGAGATTTCAGAAGTAAACAATTTTCATAGCAAAATACTATCAATGTGAAAAATATTTCCATTGAGGAGTCAGTATTGTTGTGGTAAAGGCGGTGAAGATTGAACTACTGAAATGAATGCCTAAGAGGGAACTCTAAAAAAATGGTTTAAACATAATGGGTTGTAGTAAAATAATATCAAAATGTTTGACGTGAGATTACAATGAGCTATTAACAATACTACAGCCACAGGAAAGCCTACCAGAAATAAAAAATAGAAAAGTGATATTTCTTCAATTTCCTGGTTATACTGTTAAGCTTAAAAACATAAAGATTGATACTTTTATATCCGATGCTGGACGTGAAAACACTTTCACCAGGGCCGATCCTAGGGAGGCTGACTCCCAATAGAATTTAATCTGACCACGGAGATGTGAACAAGAGGCTGGAAAAAAAACCAACAACCCAAAATAGGACTATTCTATGTTGCCTGAAGTGGGATTTTACACAAGTCAAATATGAGGGATGGTGTTTTGTTAGAAAGCAGACTGAGAAACTTTTTTTAGAAGAAGATACTGAAACAAAGGCCCTTTCTCCATTGCAAAATAAAACAGTAAATCTTGAGTTCATTAACTTGAATTATAATCCAGTTGAACACAAGGCAGTTTGAAGTCTTCACATGAATTAGTCAGCTGAATTAAAATCCAATAAGGGAAATTCATAGTGGAGTCCCATCCCCCACTTTAACTGCTTATAAATCCAAATAAGATGATAAGATATTGCCATGAACTAAAATTTCACATCAACTCCTTCTCCATCCTCTTCTTCCTGGCCAGGTAGAAGGAAAGACTCTGAACCAGGAAGTGACAAGATGATATTGGGAGGCAATTGCATGGCTAGTCAGAAGCTGCAGAGAAAAACCCTGAATAACTGTATACAGCGAATGACTTCCAGAAAATACAGCTGGGTGCAGATCTGTGGGACTCAGGGAGCAGCACCTCTAATTGAACCTGATCTAGAGGTCTGCAAGCTCCCATATACTTTTAATAGAGAAATCACCCAAGACACTAAGAACACTGACTCCCCAATGGACTGACCCCAGTGACCCAAACAAAAAAGCTCTATTGCTCACTTGGAATTGTAAATGAACAGGCCTCTCTACTCAGGGTATTTTCGATCTTTCCTTTTCTTGACAGACCAACCAAGATACCATTTTAACCCTACCATGCATCTGAGGGTACATCTAGACTATGGTGCTATTTTGGGATACTTCCAGAAGTATCCCAAAATAGCAACGCCACATCTTTAAATGCTCCCGCTATTTCCTGAAATAGCGGGCCAGCTATTCTGGTGTCCCTGTAACCTTCATTCCACAAGGGTTAAGGGATTTGTTGGAATAGTGCCTTATTTTGAAATTTGGGTCTGTCTACACAGCTCCAAATTTCAAAATAAACTCTTTTGACCTAGACTCGTAGCTTATTCAGACAGAAGGGTACTGTCTAGACTCACCTTAAGGGTAGGTCTAGACTACACGCTTCTTTCGAAACAAGCTTTTTCGAAAGATTTTTTAACAGCCACAACTTTTTCGAAAAAGTGGATCGCTTTTTTGAAAGAGAGCACCCAAGCAATCTGGATGCTCTCTTTCAAAAAAAGCCCTGTTTGCGGTCAAGGACGCTTTTCGAAAGAGCTCTTTTGAAAAAAGGCATTCTTCCTCATAAAATGATGTTTACCGCTGTTGAAAAAAACATCGATTTAATTTCAAAAGAACATGGCGGCAGTATAGACGCAGGTGAAGTTTTTTCAAAAAAACCCTGTAGTCTAGACATAGCCTAAGTGATTACTGGGTCATGCCAGAGCTGTCATCGACAAATGGGAACACTAGACTTACCAGCTGAGATATTATCAGTGTCCCAAAGCTGTGGCATACATGGGGCACAACAGGTACCTCTGCAGGCCAGGATGCTCTAGCCCAGGTGGTGCAGCTGCTGCCTATGGCAAGGCAGGGGGAAGGAAAGGGAAGCTGCTCAAGCCCAGCAGCAGGCATGGGAGCCACTGTAGCTGGTCTGAAGCAGTCTCCCACTTGTCCCCTTCCCCCTTCATCAGTTAACCGGTTAACAAATTAAACAGGATTTTACATCCCTAAGACATACCCCAACTATCTCAGACATAGCTTACCTGTCACCTCTAGCACTATTTAATCTGCAGTGCGTGTCAGTACATGTAGTGTGGATTCTTCTGAGCTAGAATCAAACTACAGTTTCTCTCAATCCTTATCCAAACACTGCTGCCTTGTTAGCAAACAGAAAGAATGCTGAGCAATTCTCTCAGCTAGAAGCATTGAGTTCTTTGGTAATACTGTAGTTGATCTGGTTGCCTCAGTTTGTGGTCAGGTACATAAGAAGGGCCATACTGGGTCAGACCAAAGGTCCATCTAGCCCAGTATCCTGTCTGCTGACAGTTGCCAGCACCAGGTGCCCCAGAGAGGTTGGACCGAAGACAATGATCAAGCGATTTGTCTCCTGCCATCCCTGACAAACAGAGGCCAGGAACACCATTTTATCCCCTGGCTAATAGCCTTTTATGAACCTAACCTCCATGAAATTATCTAGCTTTTCTTTAAACTCTCTTATAGTCCTAGCCTTCACAGCCTCCTCTGGCAAGGAGTTCCACAGGTTGACTACACGCTGTGTGAAGAAGAACTTTCTTTTATTAGTTTTAAACCTGCTACCCATTAAACAGGTAAGAAATCATGCCTATAGCAAAAATTGTACAGCTTTTAAGACAACATATACAATATCCAGTTCCTTTCTTTATACTCTTTACGGCACTATTTTTTCCACATAATCCCAGCTGAATCAGGTAAGTGCCCTACTGCCTTCATCTCACTTGAGCTCTACCCCAATTTAAAATCTCAATTTAAAGCAGGTAGCTAATATCTAAATGTGATTTCCACGGACATTTGATCTTTTACTGGAAACAAATATTTTATCCTAGCTCTCCCACTTAGACCACAAAATACACCACAGCGGACCACAGTGTTAGAATGCTCACTAGATAAACTTTCCTCTAGTCCAGAATGGAGCCCAAGATTCCCAAGTCCCACCATTTCTCTTCTGTCAGCAACTATCTGTAAAACCACCTGGCAAAGTACGTCTCATTCCCTTCTAGTGCTTGTATTAGGATGAAACCCTAATACTGTGATCAGTTAGTGGTCAGGTACATAAGAAGGGCATATTATCTTCAACAACAGAGGTCTACATAGAGAATTTAAAGGTTCCAATCCTCCAGTTGGCTAGTGTGTGCCAACTGATTTAATTTGAGAGCAACTGACTTAATTTGCTTAAACATACACACACACAAAATTACACACAGAAAACTATGTTCAAATATTATTAAGAATGCAAAATCAAGCATTTCAAAAAGTAGAAAATGCCAGAATTAAGGTTGCCTGTGCAATCTTGCTTTGCTACCCTTGCACATATGATACAGTCTTTAATCACAAAGTCATATGCTGTTTTCTCGCCTAAACAGCAAACAGTTGGGTAAGACCTTACTTTTACCTCCAAAGCATGGTAGAATCTTGCTGGAATCACTTTAATAATTTAGGGGGCACAGCCTAATTCGGGGGTGCTCTTGTGTTATCAAAAGCCTGTTCGGCTTGATGGTTGAATGTGTTGCTACGCATGGGGAAACTACTGTGACATGCTCTGAAATATAAAGTTGAAGGAAAGAGGTAAACATAAAAACTCTGCAAATCATTCAAGCCGCTTCAATCAGTTAAACATTATTTACTCTGATTTCCTACTCTAAGGTAGCCACTGTTATATGACATTAAAAATACAAAGGTGACCATGAAGCACTAACAAAAACATTATTTTATATGAAATCAAGCATATCAGGGTATGTGTGTTTTGACAACTTTTACAAACACTAAATTTCAAAGATTTAAGCCAATTGAACAAAAAACCACACAAGCCTGTACTTTAGTTAGAATATATGATCCAGAACAAGGAACCCTTTTTGAACCTCTGATGAGGCCTTAGTCAACAAGGTTATGTTGTTAAAAATCCCAATATCGACAGTTTTTTTGGTTTCTAGTACTAAAGTAGTACAATAAATGGCAGCCATAATTTAGAAGTTGGCTAGCCATAATTCTTCATATCTTTATTTCAGGAAGATTTTGAGTCTGGACAGAAACACAAAACAGTAAACTGCTTAATACAGTTGAAAAAAATTTAATCACTGAAACCTATTAGATTGTAATTTTCAACAAGAAACTCTATGCTCTTCTATGACTAGTATCATATAGACTCTTAATAAACTTATTTTTGAAATTCAGTCTATAAGAAAGATATGGTAATAGCCATTCCCTTAAAAATATTTCTAGACCATCTTCTTTGGTACATTTGCTAGAAGTCCCAATTTCGCTGGTACCAGCCTGGTGAATCTGTCCTTCCTGAGGATAGCTTCATTCATGGACTTGGTTCTCTGATATCAAACCTCTGTGGTGCTGCAATATGTACTACCCCTCACTGCAGGGAAAGCTGCTGAGCTGCTGTCTGAATAAACTCCGTAGCTACTGTCATGACCAGGGATTCTTTTCTGCTCTTGAAGAGATCTGTGGTCCATTTAGTGAGAGCAAATGAACATAAACACTGATTCAACCCGTCTTAGCAATAACAGCTTCCATCTCTCTTCTGAAAGGGTGTAGAAAGAGTGAGACAGAAAAGGCCAGACAAACACAAGGCAGAAAAAGGAAGAAACACATGCTGGTCAAGAAGACAAGCGAACCACTGGTAGCCACTGGAGAAGTGATGAGAATGGAAGGGAAGGTTTTGAGAGTGGGGAGGAGAAATGGCTTTGGTGGAGTAAGAAGAGGAAGGCAATTTTTTCCAAACAAGGCAAGAATTCAAAAGTGGAAATACTGCAAGGTTTTGTTTATATTTTTTTAAGAAAAAAAATAGACAGCTGTTCAGTGGCTGATGGAACTTCTCTCTCATGCATTCCTTATCTATCTACAAAACTGCCCTTTGTAACATTTCTCATATATGGGCAAGCCTACAATATCTAGGCATTCAAATACAGGCAGTCCCCGGGTTACGTACAAGATAGGGACTGTAGGTTTGTTCTTAAGTTGAACTTGTATGTAAGTCGGAACTGGTACATATTGTAGGGGAAACTCTAGCCAAACATTTCTCCAGAGCTCAGTTTTATTCTCCCACACCTCACTTCCCTCAGTCCTTTATTCTCAAGCTGAGGTGTCTGCTGAGAAAAGCCGCTCCGCGTCTCCCTGGTCTGCTGGGGGGAAGCAGCTAGTGCGGGGTTGCCTCACCCCGTTTGTAAGTAGGGATCCGATGTAAGTCGGATCCATGTAACCCGGGGACTGCCTGTACTACAGCAATACACACCACGGCAATGCATTTACATGAATTTAAAATTAACCAATTCTAGTACGGGAAATAACTTCTTTGTGTGATGGAATAAAAGTGGTGCTTGTTAAGTTTGAGACTAATAGAAACTCACAAAGCCAAAAGAACAGACCAGCTTCAGCTCAGCAATAAAAACTTGGGGTAAAATCCTGGCCCCACTGAATGGGATTAGAATTTCACCTATGTTAGTTTTCCTTAGAAAGACAATCTAGGCTGCTATAATCCCATATTTTAAAAAGGTAGAATATTAAGTTCATTTACAAATGACCACGTAATATTACAATGCAAGAAAAACACAAAGATAAGACCCAGTAAATGGATACAGAATGTAGTATATAACAACAGCGAGAAGTCCTGTGGCACCTTATAGACTAGCAGATTTATTGGAGCATAAGCTTTCGTGGTGGCAAAGACCCACTTTACCAGATGCATATGAGAACAGGTAATTTAACTGAACAAATTGAAGGATGACAAAGGCTGGCCAGCAAATAGGACATTAGTTGTAAACTTGAAAAGCCTTGTTTTATGTCCATGCTCAGAGTCTTGTGGGACTCAAATCAAGTCACTTAGCCTGTCTATGCCCCAGTTCCTCATATATAAAATGGGGATAATAGCAATTCTTTACCTCACATGTGCATTTTAGGGCAATGGGAGCATAGGGCAATGGGACCATATAAGAATCTAAAATAGACAGTATCAAACACTGGATTTCTATTTATTTGAACCTATGTTTATATAATCAAGTTAAATACCCTTTAATGGAAATGTATGAATTTCAAGTAGTTTAAAAATAATTCATCCAAATAGAATTTTTACTTTTACAAACTGCAACTTAATCAAACATAATCAAAGAACTGAAGCTTCCAGTACATGCCAATTCTCAAAATACTGATCATGATGTCACTTTAAAATGGCTAGTTCATGAGTTTACTCAAATCATAAATCATGACAAAAAAGATATTTTAATGATTGGTTTTTGCTAAAAAATGTAGGGTGTAGATTCACAATCTTGGTTGGTGCCCATCTCTGTTAAACACTTTATGGAGGTTTCAAGAAGGTGCAGCTAAATACAAATTTCTGTTTTTATTAAAATAATAACCCCCATCCTTAAATCATGATGGAACAGAAACAAGGGAAAAAATGAAGCAGTTTCCATTCCACCATCTAAATCAACAAAAATGAACATAGCAAGATGTTTAGAAAATCCTAAGGAAAAAAATGTTTAATTTAGATTATAAAATATATTATGTTTCTAAATTCCACCAACCCTGTAACTAAATAACCACTTTGGACAGAAAAGAAAGTAGAGGATTAAAATGAAAAGCACTCATCTAAATGTTACCTTTGCTCATAATTCATGTTAGTTACTGCATTCAGAACTGTAGTTTTCATTTTCCACACACAAAATCTCTTTTTTTTAACAAACTCTAATGTATAGAAATTCACATGCATAGCTGTTTTTACTTTACGTGGATTTACCAAACATTTCTTTTCATTACAAATGTTGTCTTGTGAACAATATATTTTGACACCTCATGCAGAAGCTGAAGATTTGTCCTATTTCTTTTAACAGAATTAGAAGTGTGCCCAGTTTTCTCACCAATTAGCTACTTGTCATCAACTTGATTATTATAGGAACATGCAGCAGCTGTAGCTATAATTGCTACAAAAAAATCCTTCACACACACAACCTCCCTATAGTTTTATTCAGTTTAAGTGATTAATCTCTAAACTATTCCTTTCACATAGAAATCTACAGGATCCTTTGAGAAAATGTTTCACATGTCTTCTACTAGGAGGTTTGTTAAAGCAAACAACATTTAAAGATACTCACTTCAAAAATATTCTGAGATATACATGAATAGTATACCAATAGTGGATTTAAACTGGTTTAATAGGCAGCTAATATTTTAGTATGTAGTTGTCACATGAAAAATATGCGCTTGTTAGAAAAACACACTGCAGAATCATCTGGATTAAAAGAAAAAAATTCCTCACTGTGTATTGGAAAAACACAAAACACAAGCTTTGGAATCATAAAACAGAATGGGAGGAACATACTCTATATCAGTGGTCCCCAACGCAGTGCCCGCGAGCGCCAAGGTGCCCGCCAGGCCATTTCTGTGCACCCACCGAGTGATCAGGGCCGGCCCCTGGCAGCGCATGGGCGGCCCCGCCCCCGAGTGTACGGCACAAGGACTGTGCCGGCTCCAGGCACATGGCACAGGGGCGGCGCCGGCCCTGGACACGCGGCGTATGGGCTGTGCTGGCCCCTGGGCACGTGGCACAGGAGCGGCGCCAGCCCCAGGTGCGTGGCGCATGGGTGCTGCCAGCTCCTGGGCATGCGGCATATGCGCATCCCTGCCCTTGGGCATGCTGCACAGGAGCAGTGCTATCCCCGGGCATGCAGCGCATGGGTTGTTCCGGCCCCGGGTGCATGGCATATGGGTGTCCTCGCCCCAGGCACGTGGCACAGGAGCGGTGCCGGCCCCGGCAGTGCAGTGCATGGGTGGTGCCAGCACTGGGCACACGGTGTATGGGTGGCCCCGCCCCAGGCATGTGCGCAGCCCCGCCCTCGGATGCCCGGCGCGTGAGTGGCCCCGCCCCCAGGCAGCCCCAAAAGGTTGGGGACCACTGCTCTATATCAATGGTTTTCAAGCTCTGGGTCGTGACTAGTGGAGGTGTTCAAGCAGGAGGTGTCACATTGCATGTCCTGGCACTACACTACATCCCAGAAGCAGCCAGCAGCAGGTATGGCTCCTAGGTGGGGGGCCACGAGGCTCCATATGCTGCCTCCACCCTGAGTACTGGCTCCACACTCCCATTGGCCAATTCCCAGCCAATAGGAGCTGGGGTACAGGGTCTGGTGAATGTGTAAGTCAATGTACGTATACTAGGAAAGGCACACAATTAGTAACTTCTGTCAGCAGAGCTTATTGCATACATGGTGTGCTTCTTTCATTTCTCCATTCCACCCACCAGCTCTCTGGGTTCCGTCCTCTCATCCATTTCGAGGACTCCCTAAAACTCCCCCAACCATTCTCCTAGTAGGAGTCTGTTAGCCTTCATTCTCTCTACTAGCTAGGTCCCCCCAATCTCTCCTCACTGATGGTACTGTTGATTCCCATTCTCTTCCCACAGCAGGATTCCCTAATCTCCACACACCAGGCATTCTTGTGTTCCACAACCACCCCCTAGGTTTTCTGTGCATATCTCCATAGCAGGATTCACCATTCTGCCTACCATTCCAAAGGCTGAACTTCCCACCCCCTTGAGAT